CCCCAAAACCCCAAAACCCCTTATATCAAATATAATGGAATCTCTGAGATTTGAAAAAGATAATTTATCACTAAAATAATAATCAATATAAACTTTAACTTCATATTTCATTCTTCATTGATCCACGAATTTACTTTTTTTACCTAAGATAATGAATTACTTAATTGATCAACAATCTGCTCATCCTATAATAGAATTGATAAAGATTTTAAATCATCAGTAATCTCATCTTTATTTTGGATTATTTTACTTTTGCTATCAAAACTATTATTCCTAATTACAATATCACTTTTCTCAAGATTTAGATTCGATTTGTTAGCTGAATTTATTCTATTTTAAGGATCTGGCATTGTTTAACTATTCAGATCTTCAAGAATTTATTATGAAGTCGATATCAAGTCCAATTTTTTATTTAAAGTTGAATCTTTAATTGATGGCTGATCAATTCCCTTTAATATGAATTTATCAAATAACTCTTAATTTTGTTGTTAAGTTTCTTATTCATCAATTTCTTGGAAATAGCTTGAAACTGTAAAATAGGATCCCTCTATTAATTTGGGAATTTGGCTCTCTAAGTTATTTGCACTGTTTTATATTTCCTCCTATTAATTAACTAATATCTCAATCGAATTTTTATTTTCTAAGCATATTTCTTCATTACTCTCTTCATTCAAAAGATATTATTAGTAAATTTGATTTTATTTACTTTTATATAAGTTTTAAATCACTAAAGACTCAAAATCAATTTCCAGGTTTTTCTTAGTTTAATTCTAATTAATTGGATGAACTTTAGCATTTTTATCATTTTTTATAGATTGAAATCTTTCAAGTTTAATCTTCTTGGGATTCATTTTATCTTTGATAGCTATATTTTGTTTTTTTAATTTATCCAATTTTTTAATTATGAGAACTTTTAGTTTCTCTCTAGACTCGCTTTTCAATGCATCTTATTTATCATTACCATTTACCTATAACTTAATCTTTTTTTTCAAAATTCTATCATTAGAAGCTGGAGAGATGTCAGTTATGTCAACAATTCTTGTAAGCATAAGTTATTATTCTTATGATAATTATTTAATATCAAGATAATTCTCATTAGTACCTATGGAATTGTTAATAATAAAGTCATTTTTATAAATTTGATTACTTTGTATGCTTCTAACATTTATAGTGGGTTTTTATTCATCACTAATTATATTTGCCTTATTTTTAAACTCATCTTTATTCATTTATATAATTTATCTATTTTAATCCAAATTAAAAGATTCTTGACTATTCTAACGATTATTCATCAGCCTTTTGCCATTTTAGGAAAATCTAGAAATTTTTTTATTTTGATTCGGCATTAAGGTATTAAATGATTGTTTTTATAACATTGATTAATTTTTATTCATAAACTCATTTTAACTTGTAATAAAAATATCTTAGTCTAAATCTGATTTAAATTTTTAGAATTTGTCACTCTTTAAATTCTTTATCTTTTCTGTCTTTTTATAAAAAGATTTTGTGCTTGAATCTTCAAAATTTATATCTATGTCTAATTTATTCTAGCTAATGAGCATCATTGAAGATTAGTTTTCCTCAAGAAAACTATATTAATCATTTAGGATATTAGAAGAGTTTTTAAGGAATTAATTTTCATAAAAATTTTTTGATTAACTTGTTTCTTTTCTATATAACTTTTGCTTTTAAAACTTCCCACTTTTCATTTTTTTCAGTTACTAATCCTTGAATAATCTCAGTAAAATAGTTAGCTATGATATAAGTTTTTCATTAAGTTTATTATCTCCCTTTTTGATTATATCTTTAAACTGCTATGTAATTTTTTTGAATTACTCTTCATACTTTTAATTGAGCTATATAGCATAATTCAAAATTTATTCTTATTTAAATTTTTCTTTGTTATAGCAAACAAACAAAGCCAGATATACTTTTTGGAAATTAGTTCTTAGTTTATTTTTTAAATCTTAGCTAATCTTTAAAATCCAATAAAAGAAAAATAATAAGTTTGACATCAAAATAGCTGCAAAAAAGAACCTTCTAAAGAATGGAGATAATGATACCGCACTTTAAGCATATTCAGGATTATTTTATATCCATTTTTCTGGTTTGTCTATAATAAAAAATACCCCACAGTATATAGTAACCATCGATGTAATCAACGAAAGATTTTCCAATTCATTTAAAGGTTTAGTATTAAAGGGTTGATAATGAGTATTAAATAGCAAGAAACATACTAATATAAGAAACATTATAAGTGCTTAAGCTATGATTCCAAAACTGCCAATAAATACTGCTACAAAGATTATAATAATCTTTCTGTACATGATAACTATTTCCCAGTAGAAAAATTCAATTTTAAATCCTCTATATAAGAAACCATATTTTTCCCTGGTTTTAATTTTTTCTAAATCATGTCTAAACTTAAATAAAATAGAAAAAGCAAAAAAAGGTATACCTATACCCCATATTAAAATACTAGGTAGAGCAACAATATAGCTGTAAAAAGAATGTGTACTATTCCAACAAATAATTTCTAAATCATCTTGAAGTCTTAATTCTCCATCAATCTCTTTGCATTTAAAATCATAAAACGAGTACTATACAATGCTTGGATGAGCTAAAAATAGCAGCACAACAAGGCTGGATGTTGATTTATTATCGATCAAGCATTAGTTTTTCCTTAATTTATTGAAAACTGACCAAAATAAAAAGCAAATGACAGTTAAAACTAAAGGAAAGACTGCTATAATGATGAGCCTAAAGAAATATATTCTTTTTGAGTCTGAGCTTTTTTCATAATCTTGATTATTTGAATTAATGAAGCAATCAATGCTGAATACTTGTGTAGAAACTTCTCCAACTTAGCTTGTAACACCGAAGAATTGAAGAATTTCCTAAGACCATGAGAAATCAAATGAAGATGTTATTAGTAATAGCTGAAAATGATTTAAAAGGATTTTAATGTAAATGCTGGTGACATTATTTGAATCTTTTGCACCATTTAGCGTTGACCTCACCATAAAGACAATCAAAAAAACTACTCCAATAAATATTGCTAGTAGTCTGAGGATATTAGCCCAATGTTCAGGGCAATATTTGCATTGATAATCATTATCTCTAGAATATCCATGACTACAATCAGCACAAAGAATACCTCTATATCCTTCTTAACAATCACCCAATTAATTAAAAGTTGGAGCTACCATTCCAAGACATGCGGGTTAAAATAGACATTTTTCTATATTTTTTGTAGTGTTACTTTTTCTCCAATATCCTGGCAATGGCCCGATATTAGCTCCTCCTAGACATTGAGCTTTTTCTGATTCACAAATTTCACAGGATCCTGGTTATGTCATTTTCACGAGTGAATATTAATTATCTGAGCATACTAGACATTTCCCAGCAGATGTAAAATATTCTCCGACATTACATTCTCTTAGTTATATATCCAATTTAAAATCAAGATTCTCTTTGCTCGATTGTTTCATGTATTCCTTATTAGATTATTTACTAAGGTCGATACCATCTGTTGAGAATGATACATAAAATTTGGACCCTGGATTGCTTGTTACAAATACATTTTAAATTACTGATATACCACCTAAAGTTTGAAAATCAGTATTTCCCTCAATAAAAGGTTAATATTTACTTGCTTTTTCATCTAAATTTTAAGTTTATATAGATATTCTAACTTTGCTTGAAAAATCATTTCCTACTATTTAACCATATTTATCTATTAGTGCTATGTAAATGATAGGCAAAGAGCCTCCACTTTATTAGCTGCTTACTTCTTATTTATTTGATATTTATTCAAGATTGTAAAAGTCTAATTATCTTGTATCTTCTGACTTGATCAACTATAGTTTCATCATTTATTCGATGTATTCTTTCTGGGTTAAAGATATCATTTTTTATGAAAAGCAAGCAAAATTATCTCCATATAAAAATGCAGAATTATTTATAAAATTAAGATTAGTCCTATTGAACTAAGGTTCAAGTGTACTCCAATAGATAGCACCTCCTTTGACTTGAGCTTTATTTTGCTTGAATAAATTTATAGCTTCAAATCTTACCAAACAATTTATAAAATCACTATTGCATGAATAATAAATAGCTCCTCCAGCACCTTTGTCTATTGCATTATTGTAAAGGTCAGTTTAATTAATTGCTTAATTTTGTATAAATTAGCATTATTAAAAGACAACTGATTATGCATTATCGAGCATTAACGCTCCTCCTTGTTCTGCAGAGCAGTTTCTAAAAATTGAATCAGTAAATACAAATTTATTGTTCTAATCATAAAATGTCGTTCCTTTACTAGAATCTTACTCGATAATATAAATTGCTCCTCCTTGGGTTGACCTTAAATTATCAAAACTTGAATTTCTAATTTCTAATCCAGAACAATATGAACAGTATATTCCTGCTCCTCTTAAAGAATTTCTATTCTATACTATTTCTTTTATTATAAGCTAATTTGATAATAATTTCCCCTGTTCCAAATAAATAGAGTTTTTGGAATTCACACTAGTAATTTAAACCTAATTTAAAATTATGATGTTTAAAGAGCCTATCAAATAAATATCATCCCCTTGATCAACAGCCAAATTTTATTCAAATTAAGTAGAATTAATATTTATACTTTTATAACCTGTTGAATATATAGAGCCACCTTTTGATCTAGCTATATTATTATGAAATACAGATCCTTAAATTTCTACAACACTATCACCTCCAATATAAAGTGCACCTCCTTCTTTTGACATTCCATTTTTGAAATTAGAGCGTCTTATTTAAGAGTTCACATTAAAAATCATGAATTTATAAGACCCAGTAGTTTTTACTTCTTAGAGCTAGTTCTTCTAATTATTATTAGAGTTACTGTTGAATTCACAATTATCAATTGTTAGATTTGCAAAAGCACAAAATATTCCTTTTGTTCTTTCAAGAGCATAATTATTATAAAATTTAGAATCTAACAATTTTAGATTTGCATTAAGCAATTATATAGTATTTCTTATTGCATAATTATCAATAAAATTAGAATATCTTATTATAATAGCTGTGCTCAAATCTGCTCCTTAAATATCTAAAACTGAATTATCAATTGCAACATTGTCAGTAAACTAAGAATTAGATATTTACATTGTAGAGAGAGAATTTAAAAAGACGACTCCTCCTGAGATAGAAGCATAATTATTACTAAATTAGCAATTTTTAACTATTAAAATTGAACTTGATGCAATTGAAAACACTCCTCCCACCTATCCTTAATTTTAGGTAAATTTAGAGAAGGAAAATTCATTATACGAAGCTTGACTATTAATTACTCCACCGATAAATCCTGAATTATAAATAAATATTGATTTATAATCTAATAACTTCGTTTGTTTGAGGGTAAATACTCCTCCTTCTTTTGTGGTTCCGCAATACTTAAATTAATTTTGATTTAAATTCACCTCAATAGCGTTTGCTATGTAAAATTAGGTATTGCTTGCTGCTTTATAATTCGAGTCAAGTAATTGAAATGACTTATTCTATAATTATTGCTAATTATCACAATTGAAAATAGATTGTTTTATATCGATAGAGAGCTATTAAGAATCTGAATACATAAATGCTCCAATTAGTGATTTAAAGTTTTAAAAGTAAGAATCTTCAATCTATAATATCAATCCATTTTAAATTCTCATAAAACCTGCTTGATTTATAGCATTACTTGAATTTACACTAACATTTTTCAATATTATTTAAATATTTGAATTTTAAGATACCAAAAAACCTCCTTAGTTCAATGAAGTACTATCAATTCCATGCGTATCAATTAAACTAAAGTATGAAGATATGGTATTATCTATCTCATCTGATTACCCTAAAAATATAAATCCTCCTTCTAATTAAGCCTACGCATTTGTAATAAAAATATTTTTTAAAGCTATTTTAACTCTTTAGCTAGAAAAAATACAGCCTCCTTTATTTGCAATATTATTTTTAAATACTGTTTATTCCATATATAAAACACATTATTCACATTTTATCACAGCACCATAAGGTGCAGTATTATCTTAAAAGATAGAATGGTAGTCAGAATATTATGAGTTAATTATTCTAATTAAAGATCCTTACTATTGAGCTTAACATCGCTAGAAATGTGAATTATAACTTTTGAATCCATATTTTGAATTCTCTAAATAAATCACTCCTAAATTTTATAATTTTGGAAAATCTTGTGTTTAAATCGAATCTTCAAAGCATTGAATTGTAGTATTTATCAAAGTTAAATTAGTTTATGGATGAGTACTACTCAGAAAATTTATTCTAGAAGAATCATAGAAACCTGTGAAAAATGAATCTTAAATAATAACTGTATTTTAGACAAAATATTTATCATAATCAGAAGATATTTGAATAAATTTGATAGTCATATTTCTCGAATATGCATTGCTAATGTGCAATTTTTGAATCACATCTTGAGTATTTATCAGACCATAATCATATAATGAATTGAATTCCTTGTGAATATCCTCAAATATTCCCCCTCTAATAATTATTGTTGCTAAAGAACCCTAAATAGAGGACACATATGTAAAATATCCGTTTAATCTTTTAACTGTTAGATTTTAATGAAATTAAAATCTAATATTATAACCAAGCACTGCTGTCTCAGCACCACCAACGCTATTTTAAAAAAGAAAGTTATAAGAATACAATGAATAAACTCTATTAACTACGTTTATTAAAAATAATGAACCTATTTATGATAAGAAAGTGTTATTTATAATAACAAGTGAAATATTTCCAAATTAAGCTAAACCGTACATACTTAAGCATTTGTTAAAAGTTATATTAACTTATTGAATTTAAGGGGCATCATCTATTTTGAAAAGGACTGATATCTTTGAATTAATACTTTAAATTAAGTCAAAATTATCTAGAGCAATATCCTAAGGAGTAGAATTGACATCTAACAAATAATCTTAGGGATTTATATTTGTTTAGCATTCAAAATAACTATTGCTTAAATAAATAGATTAAGTTATGGATTTAACACTCAAAAAACCAGAAGCTTATGAACTGTGAATAATGTTAAAGCATGATACATTGTCTATTTCCACAAATTATGCATTTTAAACAAGAAATCCATTTGATGAATAGCCACCTGTGTAATTAAGATAAATATTTTTAGCAATTAAAACTCCTTGAATATTGTCAAAAAATAATAAACTACCTAAAACTGAGAGGATGTTAAAAGCATTTATATTAGTCATCTCAAAATATTAGAGTTATGTATTTGTTTGATCATAATTATAGGTTGATGGTGAATTATAGTATATTACACCATAAGATTATCCCCTTATATGTTGGAAATTAATATTTTCCATACTTATATTTCCAAAAATGTCTTAAATATAGATTGCTGCACCTTAATTTATAACTGAACTATATTCAATAGTTATATTTTTCAATTTGATATTGTAGCAGTTTTCTATATAGATTGCTCCACCATTATAAGCAATGCTGTTTGAATAAATTGAACCAAAATCAGAAAAATTCGAGTTTTTTAAATACAATACTCCTCCAAATTACTTCATTAAATTATTAAGAAATTTGTTTTGATAAAATTCAACTACTTGAATATCAATAATAAATATGCAGCCTAAGTTATTCTCATAAAAGTTGCTATTTATGTCAGACTACTTTGGAAATATATATTCAATTGATTCTTGAAAAGTTGAGTTTGATATGTAGACCTCAGATTATTTATTTTATCCTGAAATTGTCATAAATGAGCCAAATTGACTTTTGAAGGAAGAAAAATCAGAGTTATTTATAATAATCTATGCACCACTCCAAAAACATATAAATCCCCCCTCTACTGTAGTAGAGCTAGAATTTTAGTTTAAATCATTAATTAGCAATTTAGCATGATAACTGTTAAAATGTATGCCCCCACCATTATAAAAAGCAAATGTATTATTCATCTTATTTTTTTATGAAAAAATAATTGCCTATTCTTTGATATTTAAATTTCTCTTCATTGTATTCCTTTACTTTTAATCAAAACTATGAAAATTTTAATTATGAATATGATTCATTGAATCATTGCAATTACTTTGTGAAGCAAGTTAAAGATTTTTGAAGCTAACTTTACATTCATTAAAACTTAAATGTTGAAGTGCAAATAGTAAATATTCAAGTAAAATTTACTTGATTATGCTAATTACCTCAATCATTACCGTATTATCATACATCAAAAGGTTTAGATATTAGTTTGTTATATCTTATTTAGATTAAGAATGATTAGTAGATGTCTAAATGAAATCAGACTAAATATAATTTCTCTGTATACACCGTGATTAGCTATAAAGTAAACAGGGTAAATAAACTGCCTCACCGAGGGTTTTACTCCTAATAAAGCTTGTTTAATAGGATGTAGGAATATTCAATTATCTTGCAAAATTATTATATTAATTGGAATAAGCCAAGAACCCTCCAATATCATAAGCAACAGTATTATGAATTATGTTTTCAGAAAATTCTATAAATGATTAACCCTATACATAAATTCCTCCACCATCTAATGCTAAATTATATGAGAAATTATTTTAATTGAATAAAGCTGAACAGCCATTACAGAAAATAGAACCTCCAAAATAAGCTTAATTATATTAGAAAGTAGAATTCTGAACATTAAAATCAGTATTAGTAATATAGAAAACTCCTCCATTTCTTTAGTAATAACAATTCTTGAAAGTACTTTGATAAACTTATACAGTTTCGACATTATATATTTCAAATGGAGTTGGTAAAGTATAGGCAAATTAATTAGATATGAAGTTGTACCCCATTTAAAACATAAAATCTCTTTAAAAAAATTTATCATCAAGTTGTAAGTTCTAACATTTTAACTAAACAGAATCAATAATTATTTCTTTGCCATTCTCACTCCAAGAATATATTAATTAGTTATTGTTAACATTTTCTAATATAAGAGATTTCAGAGTTAATGATTTGAATTTTACCAATTTAATCAAAATATTTCCTCTATTTGATTGGGTGAAATCGAAATTGCATTTTTCAATAACAAAGATAGCATTCTCAGAATTTATTTAAATAATAGTCTCTTATTCTTACATAACTTATTCGTTTGGATAGATCCAGGGTAGATCTATAAAAGACCATAGAGCTATATCACTTTTAAGTATACTGATATAAACATTTTAATCAAAATATTCATTATAATCAATGAAGATTAATGACCCTTTGCTTGCTGAAAAGTTTACAAAAGAGGAATTAAAAATCATAACCTAAGTTTATGCTACTTTTGAACTCATATAAATAAATCCACCATTATTTAAATTAATTAAATTGTTTACTTATGTGTCATTTATGACTAAATTAGAAGCTCCATTTATCAGGCATATCACTCCTGATTATTGACTATAAATCTCTTAAATACTTGAGCTTATCAGTTAAATATCAATTGAAGCATTTACATTCGATTTAATTATTCCATTTATTCCAATTAAATGCTTGAAAGTAGAATTTAAGATGGCAATTTTGTAGCAATTATTTAAACAATTTTATCTTAAAGATTATATCATTTCAGTCGTTATATTATTGTATAATAGGCTTTACTATTAATATTCCTTTACGCTGTTTAAATAAATATCCTAGCCTATTTATCCAAGCTAATCTTAGTAAGGCTCTTATTAGCCAATGATGCTTCCGCAAGTATTAAAATTTTCAAATGAGCTATTTTTAATTTCAACTTACCCTCCAAAAATGCTTAATTCAATAAATGAATTGAAATTGTACAAAAAATTTGAGAATTTTACATTCTAAATTAAAATATTAAAATCTTTTATTTACCTCCAATTTAAGTAACGGGGGTTATGTTATCATAGTCTATGGACTGATATCAAAATAAATGAATGAACCAAATTAGTCGCTGCTTTAACAAGTTTGAGATCTAAAATATATGAATTGCTAATGCAAAATCTTACGAAAATTAACTTATTTCACAAAATGATGGTCCATCTATTATGTAGCTCATAGGAACTATTTCTAATGATTGACAGCATGAATCTGTTGGAGATTACAAGCATTCATAATCTTAATATCTTATTAAGCAAAGTAAATATTACTTTCTTTAGGATCAAAAATTGAGTCTGTCGCATCAAACTCTATATTCCTGATAATAAGTCCGGCTGAAACTTTGAATTTGAACTTGTTTCTCAACTTATAGTAAACTTTTGTTGGAATTGAATCTACAGTATCAATTATAATCTTAACTGATTGAGAATTATCTATTTTTTATAAAGTATATAGAATTTCATCATTTTTGATTATTGAATGCGTCTAGTTTGAAAATAATAATAGCTCAATAGTAGCTTCTTAGTAAGAAATTCCTGTTTAATATGCATTTTTCAAGGCAGCCATAATTGAGTTAAAAGGGTAATCGATAGTGCCATCCTAACGAGCCTCAATATTCAATACTTTTGATTAAACATAGAATTGACCCTCAAATTATCCTTACTTTCTTTTGCAAACTCCAGATGTTTTTCCTTATTATATCTCAAGATAGTAGCCTTTATTACAAGATTTGCATTCTTATTCCGAACTGCATTCAAAGCAAGATGGATGACAGTCCAAACATTAAGTTAATTCAATCATTCCTTAGTTATCAAGAGTTATGTTGCCATATCTTCCAGGTCCACAATTAGATACACATTAATTGGTTTATTCATCAACATAGCCATTCATACATGCTTTTATTTATATTTATGAGAGTTCCAAGCTAGATTCATCATATTAAAATGTGCATCTGAGAGTCTTTAATAATTAATTTTCTTCATTTTAGCATTCTTGATAATTATTATTTAGAAATATTAATTAATCTTACTATTACATAGCTATTAACTTCCCAATTAATAAGTACTATATCCATAAATGCATGTCTAGCATTCATTTTATGATTTAGCAAATAAGCAAGAATCTGACAAGTTATCTAAATGAAGTTATTATAATAAAATAAATTTTACGAGGAGAGCAAATAGTTTGATTTCTACCAGCTGATGCATTAAAGTATGCATTTAAATCAAGAAAATAGCCTGCATCACAAAATACACAATTGAACAAGTCTTAAGAATCATATAAATAACAATTCTATATAGAACTTAAGAATGATGTTTGTTGAGACTATGAACTGCTTTAACCCTGATTATAATAGCAACTTAAATTTCCATTATTTTATTGTTAATTTTATCTAAATATGTTTTCAAATTAAGTACATAGAAATCGAGATTCGGTAACTTGAGAAAAATTGTTAAATACATTAAATTTACATTGACAAGTATAAAACTCAGATAAATTTGAATTGCTACCTAAATTTTATTAATCTATCCAGTTTTTATCTGATTAGCCAAGGCAGTTAAGACAGCCTGAAGCATAATCACAATCACTACAAAATAAACCACAACCTATATTTATTTAAATGAATATTTCAGAGTGTTTACTTTTGCAATTTGAAGAGAAGGGTTCATTTATGTAGGAATTATGTGCTTAAGAGCAGTCTGGTACACAATAAGAGTAACGGTTCGTTAAGGTGCCTATAGTATTATTTTCGCTTAGGAGATAAAGTCCTGTTTAGCATTGTTGGCATTAAACATTCATTATTTCACTTGCTAGAGATTATTCTAATTAGCATCATTCACATCCAAGCAAGACATTTGAACACACTAAGAATATTAAAATAATTAACCTTACGAATGCAAGTATCACTAACTATATCATAATATTCGTTTGATTAGCCTATATATTATATAAATCTCGAAAATTTACAATAATTTGCTATTGCTATTTGGGTACAAAGAGATATTAGAACAAAAATTTGAACTTTCATGATGTTTTTTTACGCCAGCATCTTTATTATTTAATGATTTTAAGCAATAAGGGCACTTATTATTAATCATTAATCAAAATCTATTTAAATTTAGTTTATCAACAAACAAATTTAAATATATATTACTCAGAATTAAGTTTTTATGTATCAGTTAATAGCAAGCAATTAAAATTTGAATGAGATTTGATGTATTAATGAATTTTATTAAAATGTAGCTACTTTATAGTCAGATTTTTTGACTCAATAATTATATTAAATTTTGATTGTAATTATACTAAAACCAAGCTAAAATTTCTAATACATCTCACATTATATTGTATCATGGGGTTTTGGGGTTTTGGGGTTTTGGGG